ACGTCAAGCTGGGGACAGTGGCCCATTCCCGGGGGAACTAAAACTGGAATGTTAAAAATGTCTCATGAATGTCAAAGTGGAAATGCAACCGGAATTGCAGCACTTAGCGTAATTTCCTCATCTATAGCAGTGCTGTTACCTGCTTTTACTGTATTGTGACATTGTAATGAGGGTGTGAGGTCCCCTTAGTGATAAGGGTCCCCTTGTGCCTGTCAATCTACAGTCACACTGATAGACACACTTTTTGCCCAAAGAGATCACAACTTTTAAATTAAAACAGAATAACCAAATATGGAAACAGAGGAGAAAAGGAGATGGCAAAACACAAAAATACTTGTAAGTCAGTGGGTTGATTAATGTGGGACTTGGAGCTTTCAAGTCAACATGGGGTTTTGAGAGAAGATTTAAATCAGGAAAGGGTAGTAATTTTACGATTAGGTAACTTCCCTAAATTTAGCTTAGGGGAAGTTTGGATGGACCGCTTAGGACATGAGTTGTTTTTAACACTATATTTCAATTCTTTCATTGGAAAGAAGTACGGATTGTAATCTGTGTCCTAGTCAGCGTTCTGTCTAGATGATTCTTCAGCTTTTGATAGAGCTTGGCGTCTGTTGGCTGTGCGGTACATGGGTATACTAAGTGTGACTTGAGTAACTATACAGTGGCTGGCTTAGACTGGTGATACTACTTTAGTCTGAAATATGTAACGCCCCATCCAGTGGGCTCTGCTGCTTTCTAATGCTATTTTTTGCTAGAAACAGGAAGAAAGATGAAACATTTCGCTTTTATTCTTTCAAATCTGTGGAAAACCTTAGAGTAGGGTAGTCTTCATGTTTTCTTGATGCAGCAGATGTTTCCTGACAGTGTAACTAGAATGGGGGGAAAATGATCATAAAAGGTCACAGCAATAGTGTGGTTCACACGTAGCTTCTCTTACCTCTATATTACAGGCTAGGATATTGCATTTGTAAGGCAGATGACCCTGGCAGGAACTGTTTTGCAGGAGGTGTGATTTAAGGAGCCCTGATAAAAGTTGGGAGGAATCCTTGCCCTCCTCAACACATCCTGGCAGAGCAGCTCATTACAGAGTTGATCTTTATGATAAGGTAGAGTATGGTTTCTTTTCAGAAAGCTAGCAATAGCAGAAATAATGAGTTCTGGAGAATGCAGGGAGAGTCACCACCTTCACTGTATTTGTGCAAGCACTTCAAGCTGGAGGAACTGCTGCTACTAAAAGGAAGCCGTCCCCCCACCCTCCCCTGTGCCCCCTTTGCCCTTGCTCTCAGCAAGCCAGTTTAGCCTGTCGATCCAGCGGAGCGCTCGCTCTGGCTTTGTCAGAGCAGCAGGTTGAGCCCTTGGGCTGGGCGTTTGCTAGCTCTGATATCGGGCAGAAACAGTCTGCTGTTAGACTAGATAAAGTGAAGGGGAGCCCTTGGAAAGTCCTTTCTCTCCATAGGTGTGAGGAGTCTGCATTAAGCAGCGTGTGCAAGCGCCCCTTGAAGGAGCATTTTAGGGGACTAGGAAAAGTTTCCTGCCAACCCTGAGATAACTGCTGAGAAAATACATGCTGCCAAGCATCGAGTTTTGGAAGAAACGTTCCTTGTGGCAGGTGCAAACCATTCCTCATCCTGGAACAGACGGTTGAGATGTGTCCCCTGCGCCTGAGACAGACCCTGGGGCATTGCAGAAGGGTGCAAAACATCAGGATTTATGCTGGGATAGTCTTAAAATTTATTCCTGCATGGTTTAGTGACCCCAGCTTAAACTGTCCCGTCCTCTGGGGGAGCTGGACCTCTTGCAAAAACAGGGGAAATACTACTGATGTGCTATTTTGGAAACTTTCTTGCAAGTTGTTAGTAGCAAGTATTTGTGACGTATTTAACTAGCAGGGGGAATCAACTGCCCTTTACAGTAGAAGGAACCCACCAGACATTTGATTATTACAGAAGGAGTCTCATTAAGATTTATGTCTGCTTGACAGAAACTCTCTGAACTCAAACCTCTTTTGGCATTTGTTTAAAGAGTCTTTGTGTTTTAAGCTATAAAAAGAATCATTATTAATCTGTCTTCAGGATTTATTTGTTTTTAAATATGCCATCTCAGAAAGTAAGATTTTTTTGGTTGGTTGGTTGGTTTGCCGATCTAGGGATCGGCATTCTCCTATGTTGTATTTCTTCAGTAATCCTAAATGTAGATAATGTAAGCTGTTTCCGGCTTTTACTAAATTGTGTTTTCACTCTTCTCTGTGCAGAAAGGCTGCAGGAAAAACAGTTGTAGAAAAAAAGGTTGTCGCTCTTGTCATGAATTGCCGCTGATAAGGCCTTGTGAGAAATCCCAAGATTACACCTTTTTGTTTAGAGATTTAATTTAGATGTTTTGATGATTTGAAGAGGCTTTTGTTTGTTTTCTTTAAGGAATCACACTGTCATGCTGAAGCCTAACTTAGTAATACGATACTCAATGCCTGCATCTCTGTAGTGTACTGAACTTTCTGGCTGTATTTCTTCCACATAAGAAACGCAGCCTTGAAGGTGTCTGATATGACGGAGGGCAGTTTCGTGGTGTGGAGTTTCGGCTATAGTACCAGCTTTGGCAGTCTGTACCCCTGTTCCACAGTGCGGTGGCTGGAGGAAACGTATTCTCGTCTTTCTCTTTCGTGCGAGGCGGCGTTTAACCACAGTCGCTCACTGACCTACTTTGCAGCCCCGTCGCTGTTCGGGGCTCCTGTGAAGCTCACCGGCAGTGCGTTGTCGTCGTCGCAGCTGAGCAGTGGGGTGGTGCGAGGGGAGAGTGGGCGCCAGGAGCCGGGAAGGGAAGCTGCCGCTGAAACCCCAGCGGCATGAAATTGTGCCCGAGTGTAGATTTCCTGTTTTGTTCCCAGCACTGAGGGCTTTGTTCAGTGTAGGTTTTGCTTTCCAAAAAGACCGTCATTTAAGTAGGTGAAAGAACAGCTGCTGAAAAGCAGCACTTGAATGCTTCACCTTGTCTAGCACCCAGCAGTGTCACAGGGAGGAAAGAGGAGGAGACAGCTGATGAGGAAGCAGATCTGTTGACGTGCAAATACCATAGTAATGAGCACTGATGGGAAATGAAAGGCATCAAGAGCCTATGAGGTTTGGGTAAACACAATAGCAGTTTCCTTCCTCTCCCTCCCCCTCCCCCCCCACCAGTTTGTCACAGTAGGTTTAGAAGGCTATGGACGTACCCTTAAAATAGCGTATGTTCTCGTAATACGAGTTAAAATTTGTGGTCCATTCAAATTAGGAGCCTTTGTAAGAGCAAAGCAGTTGCCTTTTTAATTTTGGATAGGCTAAGTCTGAAATGCATGTTGTGTGTCAGAAGGGTAAAGCCATCGTGAAGTATTGAAAACAGCTAACGTTGCAAGATGAACTGCCTGAAATGGCATGCAGTGTCAGTACAGACCATACCTTGCTTATGCCCTTAGATTTTCACAGCTCCTGTTTTGCTGTTAAAATGGAAAATCTTTTCTTTTGTCTGTTCCTCTCCATGTACTAAAGATGCTAATAGTAGATGTGCAGTGTTAATAAGAAATAGTATTTCTCACTGAGAAACTGGACTGTCATGTTACGTCAGATCCCCTGCTTACAAACTAGTAGCTGTACTTTATTGCAGGAAAAAAAGCTGCTAGCGATTTTGCTTCAAAAAAGCTGGAATACTTCAAATAACTGTTGCTCAGGATGTTTGTGAATACTTCCTAAAACTGAAAAGCAAGTATTTGGGAAAATAAAGTTTCTGCTTAAGCACACTGATGAATGTGTGAGTAAAAGTGATGATGTGGAGTCACCAGAGTGTCAGTGTGACTTTCTCAGAACGGAGGCTAAAATAAGCTTTGCATAATTATCATTTTGTTGTTTATTCTAATGCATGCACTGTCAGGAAGGTATTTTTAATCCAGAACAGTAGTTGATATAAGGGGAACAGAAAGGCTTGCCTTGCTGTTGGTGGAAGCCTCTGGATAGTGCTGTATGGAGTGTTTGCTCTGTTTGCTTTGTGCCTGTTGTTTCCTTCCCGTTGAAAAGTTTTTACTAATCTGGCAGTTATGAAATGTAGTCTTACTGGCTCCTTTTTGTAGTAGTTAGCTCAGGGTTCCCTTCTGCTGCTTTGATGCATTTATACAGCGGTAAGTGTGTGGAGGAGCACATCGAAAGATGTAAGTCAGGTGATCTGGCATGTATAATGAAATAAAGTGAGAACTGTAGCTGAAAAGTCCTGTGGGTCTTACTTTTCCTTTTGAAGTCTGTAGTTGTGTCTGTAGTCCATGGTTTTGCTAGTGTCCAGTGTGGAGCCTCTCTTTTTCAAAATGTGACAATGAGAATGTCTTGTCTTTATAACTTTGCTGCAAAATACTAATTTGAAAAATAGATGTTTTGATGTATTCATGTATTCTGTACGTTTTTGTGGCCTTTGAAACTAGTAGGAGTTATGTACATATGTTTCAGTGGAATGCCCTGTTTGGAGGGTGACAATAATAGCTTTTTATGTTTTGCCTCAGGTAAGTTACTCATCTAATGCTTTTTTTTATATTCCCGTGGCTCTCACTTCAAAAGCGCTTACTGTGACCGAACTGAATAGCGCCAGGCGCAGACTCGGCGATGGGGCCGGTCCCAGCCCTGGCAGGGCCCCGGGGAGGCAGCCCCATCACCTGACTCCACTGCAGCCAGGCAGCTTTGCTGGCGCTTCCTCACCGCCTCCCTCCAGCCCAGCTACATCTCATCCTGGCCGGGAATTGAAAATGATGCGTTTGTGTGGCTACATTTCAAGCAGTACTCTGTATCTGTGGTTTGTGGTGCAGTATACTTGAATGTATATGTATATGAAGAAACTTGGGATATAAGGCATCCTTTTTTCTCTTTGCCACCTTTTGATGCTATGAGAAATTAAGCTTTTATGAAAAACTGGAAAATTCTGCTGTGATCCACAAGTAATGCTCTGAATAGTCATGTGTTTTTAAAAATAGATTTTAAAATATTTTTGGAGAATGTTCAGAATAGCTATTGCATTACACAGAATTTCCCCTCTTGTAATCTACTGAGAGTACATTTCCCCATCAGAACAGCTTTCCCATTTGTCCTTGGAACATTTCACTTTCACTTTCAAATTGGTTAATTGCAAATTATAAGTATTTTGATTTGGCTTTAATTACCCTTCTATTGTCCTTAGGAAGATCTGAAAGTGCTTTGAAGACACTGAGCTTTATTTAGCCCAGTTTGCTCCTTCCCCTGTCTGGAAGTGGAGTTCAGAAGGAATTTGGAATACGTACTAATTTTCAATGAAAACATTTGACGTTGGAGTCCAGTTTACTTTTCTTCCTCTTTTGTCGGAGATCTTTTTAAAAATCATTTAAAAACTCTTCAGGTTTGTGATATGGTTAGGAGAATGAACAACCGTCCAGGAACGTATTATTAGCAAAATAAGCTTCTGGGTAGTTTACACCGAATATGGATCTCCTCCATTTGCTGAGTGACGTACCCAGGCTTTGGGAAGCCGGTAAGAAGGATTTTTGTATTATATCTACTTGGCAGATCCGCGTAGTGTTATTGATTGTAGCCTTTGGTGGAGTCATGCAAGGTTATTGATTGATCCTGCATTGAAATGTTATGCTTACCTACACTTAAAGCAGGTGTCTTAATTAAAAAACACGGCAGGAAAGAAAGTGGTAAGAGGATAAAATTATTGACTCTCATTTGTCTGCAATCCCCAGAAATTGATGAGAGCTCTTGTAGCTAATGTGAATTGTTGATTAGGCAAAGCATTAGCAATAATATTTTTTTCTCTCCTCATTAACAGCTGCTTGCAGTGGAGAACTGGAACAGCACACAGAGCGACGGGGAGTCATCTACAGCCCTTCCTGGCCACTGAACTACCCTCCAGCTGTAAACTGCAGCTGGTACATTCAAGGAGATCGTGGAGACATGATAACAATTAGGTATGATTCATGATGTTCTGTGGAGATAAAGGATTGCTTTGCTCAAATGAAACAAAATGTGAGTTCTTATCTGATATACCAAAATGAAGCCATCTGTCAGAGCTACCTGAAGGTCGATTGGTTGAACACAGGAAGTTGAAGCTGATTATGCTGAAGCATGATTGCAGGTTGGCCGGTCCTCTCATTTTAGAAATGTTCCAACATGTTCTGTAGGTTACTACATTATTATACATGTAAGTCACTTGTAGTCTTCTAATATATTTATCTTCACATTACAAGTGTGAGATTTTATCCACCTCTGATAGATGAGGAGTTGGGAAACAGTAATATATTTACTCACATTGAATAGACTTCTTTCTCTTCATTGCCTGCAAGTAGGAATGGGAGAAGGCTATAAAACCTGATGTAACCTATATTCAGTTGGGCTACTTAAGATCCTTAAAGCAAAAATGGCTTTGTCTATAGTGTCTGGAAATGGTGCTATATTTAATTGATAGATGAAGATAATTGCTTATTCTTACTTGTCAACCAAAGCACATACTTTTTTTTGCTAAATATTTAATTTCCACAGAATTAAATAATAGTTATAATTTGTGGCACAATTTCAGCCCTTTCTACAAAAATATAATTAAGAAAAGACTATAATATATTCTAAAAGGTTTGATAAGAATTTTAGGCTATAATATCAACATACTATGAATGTGCATAATCTCTCTGCGCTAACCATAGTATCCTCCTCAGACCAAGAATTGCATATTTAAAAAAAAAAAAACCTCAAACCTAGGAAAGGGTTTTTTGTTTTGTTTTTAGTACTGTTGTATTTGACACCATCTGCTCATTCTTTGCTCAGCTGCTTAAAAGGACTGCAAACCTCTTCAGCTGCAGATGCTGTGCAATTAAAAACAAATCTGCCACAGATGGAATAATAGGAGGCTCCTTTGTCCATTGTTCAAAATAGGAACTACTCATCAAGAGTAAGGAAGTAGATACCTGCCAGCATTTGAGATCCATAAATAGACAGACGCTTTTAAACCCTATTAAACTGTATTGGACTTGGGACATTTGTTTCAAAGCAGAGATTGTTGGAAACTGAGGAAGCACATAAATGAGTCACAGAACTTTGCTCTTGAGAATAGCACTGCAGTTCAGGCTGTGAAATCATCTCGGAGCTTTAGGATTCTCCTCTGCAAACACAAGTGTAACAGAGCCTGCAGAAATAAGGGAAGGCAGGATGAGGAAACTGGTAATAATGTGTGCATACAGTTTGGAGACATGCATAGCAAAATCATTTTGAAAGTTTTCTTTTTAAAGGGTTTTTTTTCTTTTTAAAGGGTTTGTTTTCTATCACTAGATATACACAGCCATATCTGGCTCTCGTACGCACATGCAGACAATGGGAGCTATGTGTTTACGTCCTAGGGAGTTGTTTGGCTTGTGGGTAGAAGATGTGTTGTGGTGTTACATTTCTGACTATAAATGTACTTGGAATGATTCACTCCAGTGATATACGAAATGCAAAGTGTTACAGCATCTGAGGATTTCTTTAGATGCATAACACCGTTCAAAAGGTTGTAGCCCTTGTAAAGCCAGCAGCGTAGAGGAGGCGGCTGGCTTGCCCAGGCTATGATACAGGCAGATGGGGAGATGGAGCTCAGATACAAACGTTTTGTCCTCTTAGATGCTGGGGATGCTTCTTATCATAACAATTTGCTGATGGGGGCAAAAAAGTAGCTTTTTTGATATCCCCCCTTCCCCCCTCCAGGGAAAATCAAACATAGTTCTTGTGGTAAGATCTGGATTTTGAAAGGTTAAAAACAAATTTTGTATCATGTTACATTGAATGCATTTCCTTTGATCTTGAATTCTCATTGACAGTAAGACAGCAATATTATGTAAGTAGCATATTTGGGATACAGGAAGAGTCATTAAGGGATAAAGTTGCAACTGAAAGTAGTTTTGATTTCTAGAAAAACTGCAGTCAGTAGTGATTTTTTTATAAACCTGTTATTCAGCAGCTTTCCACAGAACAGTGTCCAGATCTACATTTGGATGAAAGATACTGTCTCCTGTGGGCATGTCTTTTAGAAGCTTTGTTTTAGTATCAACCTCTCATGTGTTTGTATAGGTTTTCTTCATGTCCTCACACTTCCATGCTTACTGTTTTGCTTTATAGTTTACTTTAAAGAAATCCTTAGGGGAGACTTCACAAAAACAGGAAATATATTTTCTTCCTGCCTGTGCCTCTCTGTTGACTGTGCATGTTTCAGGACTTTCTTCGAAGTTTGTTTGCTAGAGTCCTGCTGTTGAGTCCTGGGAACAAACGGCTAGCTACTGGACATGAGTTCTCCAGCGTTATGTTGTGTCATTTTGGATTCGGGTAGCCAGCCTATTAATTATTGTTTAGGAAATTACTTATTTTTCCCTCTCGTTTTCTCTCTCTATTCTTATGCTGGTTTTCAGAGGGCTATGTAAAAATCCTGTAAGATCAGATAAAGATGGGATATGCAGTAACTGCCTTTGTGCCATCCTTTATAGGCTTTATGTGAGTATGCTTCCTTGCATCTGAGAAAAAGATCAAGATCTTTCTGTTTAGCAGGTCCTGTTATCCGTTTGTTGTAATTAACCCTGACATGGGCAGAGTTAAAACTGCATTTTATTATAGGAAATGATGGGACTGAGAGTAAAATGTTCTCCATTTTCAGAATTCAGGATAGAGTAGTGAAAGTGATTATTACTTCTCTAGTGACCCTCTCAAGCTGTTTCTTATTAATCGGGGGTGGGGGAATTGCCTTCATTGACTTTTATTGTAGTGATTCGTGTCATTGGCTTTGAAAAAAATTTTTTTCAGATGCCATCTGAGCTTAAAATTCTAGGCAAAACAGAGGACTGTTCATGTAAAGGCTTGCTGGTGTGTTATTATATGATGAATTAAAGGGACTGCTTCGTATTATCTTTGCTGAACTCAGAGCATTTCAAAACTTGACATTAATTGGAAAAACTTATAATGGCCATTTATTTTATTCAGAGTTGCGGTGCTCAGCTTTTGAAAAACAGGCCCTGTGTCTCTTGCCTAAGGTTACGCAGTTAGTTGGTGCTTGGGAGCTGGGAATAGAATAGATTTCCAGACGTCCAGGTCCTTGTGCTTCAGTGGTTAAGCAGAAGTTTTTAATGAGCCAATTAAGTCATCAGTTGTTCACAGTCTGCACTTGGCTGTGAGAGGCTGGCAAATAGAAGTGACTTCTCTTGCTTAATTGGCTAGTCTGTTTTATTTTGGGGCTGTGCTCTACTGATCTACCCATAATATTTGTTCTCCAATTTTTTAATGAGTTTAGGGGGCCAAATTGGACATTTATTTATTTATTTACTTCCTTTCATTCAGCTTTTACATTCTGGGCCTCCAAGAGATTACTATTTCTCGTCAGTTTTCATGATCATCCCATGTTTGTTCTTTTCCAGTTATTAAGAATGCATATTTTTTGTGCTTTAATCTGTAGTTGTTTGTGCCTAAATTACTTAAGAGGGTTGTAGGGAATTCCTGACATTATTTATAGAACTAACTTTTTCTAGCTGCTGTTGTTCCTCCCAGTGCAGATGGCAAAAAGCTTAGCTCTGCTAAGCATTAGTTTTGCAGGTAGCGCTTTTTTTTTGTAGTTACAGCAGTGAACGTGAGTATTTATGGTAAGCTGATCTAATGAAGTTCTTGCCAGCAACATGCAAATACTAGAAAGTCAATAGGAAAATGTCATTGTACGCTACTGTTGCTTCATTTGAGTAATCTTGCAGGCAGGATGCGAGACGTGGCCAATCCTCTAATTCACAGTGAGCTCCTCTGGAGTCCTCCTCAGGGCTGGAAGTAACCTTTTTCCAGGATCAAACCACTGACAGAAACATTAGGTGATTTTTACCAGAATTTTGTAAAAACAGATTTAGTGCTGCATTTTTCAGCTCACATTTAGTTGTTTTGATCCTCAAAATCTGAATGTTCCCAGTACCTACTAGACTATTCATGTGGTTTTGTACGCAATAAAATTTTTTGAAAAGAATTAGCTGGGGAGAGACGTTCCAGAGGGTGATAACTGCGGTTAATGCTTCAGAATAGTTTTGGAAGAATCAAAACCTGAAAAAATTTGGTCTGATGATTTTTGTTCTGTTACACCAGTCGTCATCTCCTCTATTCCTGTATTGTGTTGGAGACCCGCGGGCAGGAATGAGAACGTCCTGAGGGCCAAAGCGCTGTAAAGGATGTTCTGTGTGTTAGCGATGGGTGTTGCACCTTGTTAATATTGCAGGTCTTGTAGTACCCGCGTTTGCCTCCTGCAGGTTAGTGCCTCGGTACCCCTGCTGTCCCCCTCCTCTGAGCTACGGCTATGCTTTGCTCAGAGAGTGGAAAAAAGCCTTCAGGACAGCTAAGTTCTCCTTCCCTTCATCTTCCCCTGATGAGACGCCAGGGCAGAGGCGTGTGGCCGTGTAAGTGAAGCCTGTGAGCGAGCGTTCGTTTGCATCCCAAGGAGCAGCCGAGGTGCAGAGGGGAAACCTGTGGCTGTGGGGTGTAAAGCCCGGAGTTGTAGTGCCACTGTGCACTGCAGTTCCCGTGGTAGGACAGACCTCGGGGCCTACGTGGCAGCCCTACAGGCACCTCAGGGTGGTTTGCTGGCCAGGGTCAGTGGCAGAACAAGAACGAGGCCTTTTCTCTGCCAGCAGCCTTTCTGCCTCCTCTCACTCTTCTCCCTAAACCCCAGTGGTTCCCTGCCCGGGTTGCTTAAAAATACCACGGTCCGGTCAAGTATTGTGTGAGGTATGCGTGGCGCTGCCCATCAGTGCTCTCTGCTTCGGTGTGACTTGATGCTGTTTCTTTCTGCTTTAATCCCCCAAAAGGCCATGACTTTTGTCTATAAAGTGCCTGAGACCTCCCTCAAGAGTCATACCTACGAATGTTATTCAGTCCGTCTCCAGAGGGTGTTTGTGAGGTGTTTATGCAGTCCTGCAAGCAGCAGGAGCACAAGACTTTCTCCCTTACTTCCACTTCATACGATCAGTCGTTCAACTACTGGGCTAATCCTTTTGACAGAAAAATTTGCGTTCCCGTTTGAGACGGTTCAGCTGAACAAGTGAGTGTCCCCGTGTTCTGTTTTGTGGGTAGCAGGATTAAATTGTTCTTCAGAAGACTGTAACGTCAGCACTAGATCTAATTACAGATGACGAAAGAAGTGAAATAGCAGAGGGTGAACACACTATTCTGAACTCTTGAGTAAAATAAATCAGTGGGCTATTTAAGGTGAGATGAATATGGCAGAAATATGGCAGATTTCTTACACAAAACCTCGTTTTTGAAAATACTGTTTAGTATTTCGTTATAAAGGAGTGTTTTTTTGTGGTGAAGATGCTTGACATCTTGTTCAAATGTCATTTTTTTGGTCTGGAGTGAAAGCACTATCAATTTACATGGAACAAAATTTGCTTCTATCAGAGACACTATAACTTAACAGGAAGGCAGAGGAAAAATTGCTATGGAGTGACAATGCCTTAATCAAAGCAAAATGTGTTTAAAATGTGTCTGTTGAGTATAGTTTGCATGAGAGAACGTAATTACTTTGTTTTTGATTTTGCCCTTAGAAGAAAAAAAATTTATAACTGCTGTGGTATCTATTGTATATAAAAATTTTAAGTGAAAACAAGGACATCCATATTTCAGAGAAATTGTGTTTATTCAGTGGTGTTTCAAACTTCCAGGTACTAGTATGTGATTAAGATGCTTATTGTTTAAGAACAGTTCATTCTTGTGGATCTTCTGTGTTGTCTTTTTCTAAGACGAAGACCTTTGTTTCAGTAAAGGCATCCTTGCGAGGCGTTGTGCGTTAGTGTTTGCAGGGAGGCTTTTAAAGATGATGCTTCCTTGCAAGTATATGCTGTTTGGACAGCTGTGTGCTCAGTTGGTTTGTGACTGCAGCTTGGAGTTTTGAGTTGAGAAGTTTGGGATTCTGTTCTGAGTCTGTTCCAGATCCACAGGTGACACGGGGGAAAATCCGTTATTCTCTCTGTGCCCGTGCTTCTGCTTTGGAAAGTGGGACTAAAGCTTCTTCCTCATCCAAAGTCTTTATAATAAGCCAAAAAACCCCTTTGTCAGTGATGTACTGGATGAAGTTCTGAGCGTGCAAGTAGAAGACTAGTTTACGTAGTTGCTGCTCTTTCCCTTTCACCTTCAAAGGAAAAGGTCTGGCAGGCTTTTACAGCCTACTAGCCAACTATACCGTGATACTGAAAAATATCTTTCCTTTTATCTTTTTCATAGAGTTCCTCTCTTTTGTTTGTGTGAAGTTCTTTGTGGAAGGTGGCCTCTGTTTCATGGGAGTATTTCAGCCTTTCTGAAAATTCTGTCCAAGCGTTTTACATGAAGTACACAAATTTTTAACCTGCTAGTTTGTGTAGCTGCAGTATGTGGAAGAGGACCAAAATATATTTGTAAATGTCCTGAATAATGCGCCCTTTCGTAATGAGACATACGTCTCTGTGCGTGGCTATTGTCATTGCTGATTGCTGAATACAAATTAATCTGTGTAATCAGGCTGAACAAATACGCTATATGATTCCTGAACTACAGGTTATGGTGTATCGTTTGGTTGTGTTCAGCGTCCTGCAAACAGTTTGGGCACCGCTTGGCCCTAGGTAAGCAAGTATTTAATAGCCATTGGGTTTGAGTCGGTGTAAAAGCTGGATGTTTGACTGTAAAAGGTTTATTCACTCTGCACTTGCATTCCCAGGAAGAGAATATTTTAGCCTTTCAATTAAAAATAATAGTGTTAGATTTTACAGTTCCATTTCCACTCCTTGCTGCCCTCATCTCCTCTTGTCCTCTCCATACCTATCCATAGCTTGAAGAACCAATTTTGTCTGTCTTTTTGATTCCCTGAGGAGTCTTTTTACTGCTCCTTATTGCTTTTTGTTGTATTTTTTTTTTTTCCTGGAGGCAGTCTCCCCTTCCCTTCCATAGATTCATAATTTTTAAGGTTGGAAAAGAAATCATTTGATCTGCCTTCTGCATAATGTATACTGGAATTTGTGCTTTCACTCATGTCTGTGTTTTGGAAAGCAGTTGTGTTTAAGAGCTTTGAGTGAAAGAAGAATCATTTCTTCAGCTTTTGGAGTTATTTGGCATAGTGTTTATGCCTGTGAGATGGGTGCTTTTCCAAACTGGGGGAATTTGACTGCTGTGTTTACATGTACTCAAAGTACTGTAGGTGTTTAACTATCTTTGAATGTGATCTCTTTATGTCAGTACTGCTTTGTGCAGAAAGTCAGCTATTACAGCCTGTTTTTTCTCTTTTTAGCTTTGGTCCAGATGTGTTCTCTCTGTTACTTATGTTTTCTTTTGTTCCTAACAGTTTTAAGAACTTCGATTTGGAAGATTCTCAGAAATGTGCATTGGACTGGTTGATGATTGGCCCATCTTCCAAGAGGGAGGAGTACAAAGTGTGTGGATCTTCCATACCTCCATCTTTCATTTCTGCAAGGGATCACGTTTGGATATTTTTTCACTCCGATGCATCGAGCTCAGGACAGGCTCAGGGATTTCGCCTTTCTTACATTAGAGGTAAAATCTTACACTTTTATTGGCTTCGCTAATAACATCTCTGGTAAAACTGGAAGACAATATTTGTTGACAAGGGTCTTGTGCCAGACTTGATAACTGTAAGGTGTTAGCCATGGTGACACCGTTGTTTTTTTTTTCTCCCCACTTGGCTTTATTTCAGTCTTCCTGAAGTGTACTGGCCTGACAGATTGAATTGTGACACGCAGGGGAGTAGACATCTAAAATGTGGCGTTGTATGTTTCTGAAAGTTTTCAATACTGAATTTTCTCCTCTCCCCTTCCTTCACAGGAAAAATAGGTCAGGCTGTTTGCCAGTCAGACGAATTCCGCTGTGCAAATGGAAAGTGTATTCCCAGTACTTGGAAATGCAATTCCATGGATGAGTGTGGGGATAACTCAGATGAGAGAAACTGTACTGTCCCTCCAACAGAGCCTCAGTCCAGCATCTGTCCCTCAGGAACATTTCAGTGTAGTGTAGCCCATTCCACCAAGTGCTTGATGAATGAGCTGAGGTGTAATTCAGTTAAGGACTGCAGTGATGGTTCAGATGAAGATAATTGTCCTGATCTTTCTTGTGGCAAAAGGCTGGGTAATTTTTATGGGTCTTTTGCTTCCCCAGATTTATTCCGTGCTGATCACAGCAGATCAGACCTTCGTTGCACGTGGTACGTGGACACACAAGATAATCGACATGTTCTGTTGCAGCTTGATTTACAGTTAGGCTACAATGACTATGTAAAGGTGTATGATGGCATCGGAGAGAAAAGTGATAAATTAATGCAAACATTTTCATATCACAACAACCGGCATTCAGTGAGTGTGGAGTCTTCAAAGGGCCAACTCACCGTCTCATATCATGCCCGTTCCAAGAGTACTGGCCACGGGTTCAATGCAACCTATCAGGTGAAAGGTTATTGCCTTCCTTGGGAACACCCTTGTGGAAGTGACGAGGAGTGTTTCACAGACAAGCAGCATTGTGATGGCTGGTGGCACTGTCCAAATGGCAAGGACGAGGAGAACTGTCCTGCTTGCCAGAAGAACGAATACCCATGTGAAGGAAACAGTGGGCTTTGTTACTCAATACTTGACCGATGTAATAATCAAAAGAACTGCCCGGATGGCTCAGATGAAAAAAACTGCTTTACTTGCCAGCCAGGAAACTTCCATTGTGGTACAAATCTGTGCATCTTTGAGACTTGGCGCTGTGATGGTCAAGAAGACTGCCAGGATGGAAGCGATGAACATAACTGTCTGGTGATTGTTCCCAGGAAGGTCATCACAGCTGCTCTGATTGGGAGTCTCGTGTGTGGCTTGCTGCTGGTGATAGCACTGGGTTGTGCATTTAAGTTATATTCTCTGAGGACCAGGGAATACAGGTGAACGTCTTGCTTTTATGATGCTTTAATAACTGAGGCTTTTTTCTTTTATTTAAATGTATTACTCAAGAGACTTTGGGTAATACAGTGAAAGGAATCCAAGGAATTGATGACAATTAAGTAGTCACTGCACTGGGCTTAGAGAATAGTAGTTTAGATTTTCAGAAGGAGTGGCATGTCAGCTCTTGTGCGTGTTTCTGCTAATGCTGTGTTGTAAGTATTTGCTGAGTCCCATCAGTGTGAGCTCTAACCTCTGTCCCCCAGGCGCATTGGTCTTGCTGTGTAGATTGCGTGTGTGTTTCTGTGCCTGTGTTTTGAATGTTTGTGCAAGTGTGGTTTTGTCCTGTGGGAGAAAGTGGTAAGGGACTTTGAGGCCTGTCTCTCGTCTTATCCGCCAGCTCTCTGCCATGCTGCTGCACTATTTGTGTTTTCAGTACCGTGTGCTTTACATCCTCTCCTGGATCAAATCTGGCTGACTAAGGAGCTAGAACAAGCTGCAGCGCTGTGCTGGGAACGTCGTGGTGCCTGGCTTCTGGCAGGAAAGCTAAAGCTCTCTGCAGCTGTAGGCCTGCCCCTGTTCTGTGATTCTTTCCAGTCCTTAATGTTGTATTTTCCAAAAATAACCTTAGGATCCTTGCTGAACAAGTTAATGCTGTTACTGGCCTAAGCTGGAACTGGACTGGAAAAACTTTCATAACCACAGAATCCAAGTTGGAACTGCACCAAAGAGTGTACTGGTTTGACTCACTGACACTTACCCTTTACTCTTGTTCCTTTTACATATGTTAGCATCTTCATGATAAGGTTTTTTCACTGGGCCTCCTGGAGAGCATGCCTTTTGCTTGTTACTGTGAAATCCTGTGCACTGCTTTTGTGTTACGTTAATGTAGCGAAGGTAGGACAAAACGGCAGTTATTTTTCTTCTGTGTGTGTTTTGTGTGTGTGTGTGTGTGTGTGTTTTTTGACTGTGGTTCTGCTTCCAGAGCATTTGAGACCCAGATGACACGATTAGAGGCAGAGTTTGTGCGTCGGGAAGCTCCTCCTTCTTATGGGCAGCTGATTGCACAAGGACTTATCCCACCAGTAGAAGACTTCCCTGTGTACAATGCATCGCAGGTATGGAGACATGAGTGCAAATGAAGCTATGAGCAGCCAAACTACTATAAATTAGATAAAAGTCAGTCTGGAACTGTATTTTTTCGGTAGTGAAACTGTGTTACAGAAGTTCTCCTATAAAAACTGTGTTTTATGTTGTGAAGAGCCACAGTTATCTATCTTAGTGTTGTGGCTACTTTTGAACACATTAGAGCACTGAGTCTTCTATCATCAGTAACGCGTTTATAGTCTGCTGCTTTAGTGGTGGTCAGATAGGATGAATGGGGCATCTTGCTGAGCATAAAAGTAGAGGTTAAAGTCATAAAGGAAACCCTCTAAGGGAGAGTATTTTGGTAGGGGCAGAGTGTCTTTGGCAGCTAGTTTATTAGAAAATATGCATTTAGCAAGGAAGTTGATGGATTAAGGTTAAAAATTCCGGTGAAACTGAGAAATTAGTGGAGAGAACAGGCTTTAGGGGAAGTCTTTTAAATTTGTATGAAATTATAGTTTGTTATATCTGTCTTACAGGCTTCTGTGCTGCAGAATATTCGAACAGCCATGAGGAGACAGATGAGACGTCACTCGTCAAGACGGAGCTCGTCTCGAAGGCGCTTAGGCAGGCTCTGGAACAGGCTCTTCCACAGGCCGCGGGTGAGAGGACAGATCCCGCTCCTGACGCCCGCCCGCACTTCCCAGACTACGCTAGGTGATGGAATCATCAACCGTGTTGATGGAATCATCAGCCATGCTGATGGGACTGTTGGGAGTCCTCCACCTTCCCCTGAAGGACCTAATTTAGAGGCAGATGTCCCTGGCCAGGCCAGGGGCCTGCAAGAAGCTGGATGTAGCAGCTTGCAGCCAGAGACTGAAATCACAGAACCATCGCCCTCTGATGTCTTATCTAGTACTTGCACAGCTGCGTATGCAGAGCCTGAGGCTGGACACACTGATAAATCTTTAGGTGCTGAGACCTCCAGCAGTGAGCTTAAACAGTCCAGCAAAGTAGATTCAGGAAAGGCTTTCAGAGATCCTTTGTCTGAAAGCGTTACAGAAACGATCCGTGGAGGGTCAGCATCCAGAAGGACTGTCCCAGAGGGCAGTAGTTTAAGTAGAAGTCATCCATTGAGTGAAGAGCCATGTAGGTTGCCCTTAAAAAAGTGGGAGTCTACTTATTCAGACAGCCCCGTGAATGTTCATATCCAAGTGGACGGACAAAACCGGTGTTGCCCTAACTCATATCGGGAGGAGCCTTTGGGTATTCATGCGGCTTGTTGCCATTCTGTGGAAGTGCCAATGTTAGAGTCCTCTACTCCCCTCTCAGAAGTCAATACCAGTGATGATGAATCTTTACTTGTTTGCTAATAAAATTTTGTTCCAGCCCTGTAGATTTTGTAACTTCATTGTTTATATGACAGTGCACTTTGATTATAGGTGGTAAGTCTTTGCTCTCGACTTTGTCTGTTAAAACCAGTGTGCTTTAATTCCCCAGGGAGTACAAGACAAGACTAAATGGGACAAGTTTTTGTCTTTGTTGCTATTCCTGAAACTCAAATGGGGCAGCAATAGGCCAGTATATGATATCAGGGGCTAGGAGAGCAAGAATGTGCCATTGCAGTTTGGAGGCATCTCCATCCTCTGTTACTTCTGTGCATTTATTCACTTTGCATTCAGGGAATTTGTCTGTCTTTGCTTTTCAAAGTGGTCTTACTGAAATTAGAGAGAACTCTGTTGGAACCTGGGATAGGCACCGTTTTGATGCGACTACTAAACTAGAAACATGTTGTTGTCTTTCCAGACATCATAATTTAATTAAAACTTAATAATTTTAGTTAAAGATTATTTAGAAGGAAATAAAATCCTTGTAGCTTTCTCTTTTTCTCGTGCAGAAATCGCTCCTTTCCTTTCTTCTCCTCAGAAGTGCTATGATGGCCGTATGTACCTTGAAGCATCCACTACAACCAAAGTTTCTTTATGGAATATGCAGAATGAAATCAGGTTTCTTATCTGCTATAATTTTGCAATAAGAGATTATCTGTGTTCAGTATAAGTGGAGCGCGTTGAACCCCCTTTGCAGCAATATTTCTTTTTTATGTTGTCATACGTTATATTATTTTCATAACGATGTTGTGAAGGTTGAGGTATTATTTACTTTCTCCTTACCTCCTTTTCCTCTCTTCACTTTTTTTTTTCAGGCACTTTTATGATTATACCACTTTGCACGTGCCCTGAAGGATACTGAGGCTTCACAGCTCCTGTTGGCAGGTCACACTGAGCACTTGGTAACTGTCAGGATCAGACTCATACTTTATTTTGAAATATAATCTGCTGGGTGCAGATCTATAAATCAGTTCTTTTTTTGGCAGTTTGATCTATTTCAGCTTAAAAAAAAAAAAAAGAGTGATTTTTGAAGCTGACGCTGTGTGGCCTTTGCAACACTTCAATGTAAACAGGTGCCTTTTTGGTTTTTAGAGTGTAATTAAAACCAAGCAAGTTATTTACCTGGAAGAAGGCTCATGTTGCTTAAATAGGAGTGCCTCAGTGCAGAATGACACAATGTTTCGGTGTGATGTTTGGCCCTGTTGGGACAGATGGGGCCCTGCCATTAATTTACTTTTGGCCCGGATCACCCACGTTCTAACAGGGACTCTGATTTAATTTCCCTGTGAATGCAGTGACGAACTAAAATGCTTTATACAGAAATAAACGAACTTAATGATGTTGCTCCTTTGTAACTGTCTCAGTGCTCTGAAGCCTCCCTATTGCTGTAGGAAATCAAGCTGCCTGAAGTTATTAATTGAACTCGTAAAACTATGGTGGACTTCGTCATCTGTAGAGCTGGGCTCTGCTGGCCACGGGTCCCTTGTGAGCGTAATGGGAAACAGGCTTTTGCAGTGAGCAGTAAGTTTACGTCAGTCAAAGATGTTATTCCTTTAAATGGGTTGTATTTTTGTCCTGCATCTTCTGCTGGAACTCCCTTTTGGGAGTTCCTTACAAAGAGCAAGGAATAGGCCCTTGGCTTTACCAAAATGTAATTCAGAAGAATTATGTTAAATTGATTTTTTTTTTCTTTTTTTCCTCTCCTTCAGATGCAGATTGCTTTCATACTCTGTGTTCCAGCAGCAAAAGATTCAAACTCTTTAAGAGCGTTAATAGCAGGAAGGGGTTGTGGCAAAATGTATAATGAATAAGAGTCATAGTTACATGAAATAAATACTGCTCGCTCATTTTTTCCAAGTGTTTTCGTGATCAGAATTCATTTCATCAAAGGAAATGTAGTTTTAAGAGAGACTTTACTTTCATAACATTTGTGAACATTTTAGGTACATTCCGCCTGTGAAAGGTCAAGTACTACAGTCATTACACTGCCAGGGCTGTTCGTGTTCAAGGCTGCAGGTTTTAGTGTTTTTTGTTGTTTTGTTTTTGTCCAAGGTAATTTTAAATGCATAGAATTGTATTTATAAAATAGTAAACTTAATTGGAAGGAAGATTATATTTCAAGGTTAATATTGTGCAGATATGAAGGATGTTATAAATAAGTGCATATTTAGTTCTGTTACAGAAAATGTATTTCTATAATAAAATCATTTTCATCATACTATGCCTTAAATTGTTATCACCACGGTAAGGCTCTTAAAGTTGAAATATGTACTTCAAAATAATGTTACATTTTGGGTGCAGCTCTGAATAGCTAACACTGTATTTTAGTTTAAAATGTGTAACTTCACATAATTTCTTACATATCGTACATATTTTGTGTACAGACCCATAGGGTAACTCAGTGGAAATTTCAGTGAGAAGGTTTTACTTTAGAAACTTATACAGATCCAGGTTAATGAAAACTTGATGCTTGTGTGCAGAAATGTTCACTACCCTCTCTATTGAAATTTATAGCCCTGGGTAAATGAGAGATATGTCTGATGCTTTTTGTAAGCACATAACTTTTGTATTCTGCAATAAAACACTCTCTCTTGCCTCCCCAAGCCTGTTCCTTAAAGTGAAGAGTCGCACATTTACTGTTAGTTTTGCAGAAGAAATCTGTGTGTGTGAGCTGTGGGCACAGACGAACTGTGCGTTACAGTGTCTTGTAATGTAGATACCGGAAGGAAACGGTGAAGTCTGCCTTTTTATGTCTACCCTTTCTCCAGCTTCTAAGCATTAAACAGTGTACCGTCCTTCCTTGAAGATCACCTGAGTTCTGTTTCTGTTTCACGTCTCCTTATATTCAGAACTTCTAGAAAATATTGGGGAAAGCTGCTACTATGCCAGTAATGTAAACAGGAAAATTTCATTGTTACGATTTCTTTGTTCAGCTTGAGAGTGGAAAATATCCTCCCACTTTAATGACTATATGACCTAAAGGCAATCAGCTAATAAAACTAAATTTTAAAGTTCTTATTTTTATGTCACTTTAATAATACTTTCATGTTATTTAAAGCTTTTCATGGACAGAAAGAAAGATATTTCAGGAGAAAATTTTTATGCAGCATGCATTTATATATATATGTATGTATATATGTGTGTATATATATATATGTATATATGCTACAACACCCTTCTGTACAAACCACATTAAAAACCTGCCTTAAAAAAAAAAATCTCTGAATAAAGAAGAATCCCTAAACCTTTCCTTAATTAAGAAGAGTGGAAGCTCCTAGGCAGCATCAAGGGAAAACTGACTCTTACGGTTGTGTCTCTTACTGCTATTAAAGCATTTGGAATATTTGTTTGAACTTCTGTCAACTTCCAGTTTGTGTATGACTCTGTGATCTTTTCCTTAAATGTAAACTTTGTTTCCTTCTGTTTTCTGCTTGCCTTTTTATTTCCATGTTATATATATTAATTGAAATACAGCATTTTGCCATAACGTATGTACAGATATATGGTTCAGATATGGCATAATGGTTACCAGTGTTTTTGGATTCCTGGACAATGATACTAAGCAAGTAAGATGCTGGGCATCGTCATACTTTGCTCTTGGTCTCATTATCAATTTTTAATAAAACTTCACATGCCTAGAGGCCATGGGTTGCTGGTTGTTACTCTAACACCAAAGATCAAAGGTGCCTAAAGCGTGTATGCACGGCCTTCGTTTGACTCTGACTCTGCGAGTGCCAGGCTATAGCTAAGTAAATAGATGTGAATATGAAATATGTTTTTGACTGTCTTTGTGCTTTTTCCGGGGAGCTGAAGTTCTGTATGAATTCACATATATGCCTGGAGATACCCAAAATATATATACTTTTCTTCATAGCAGATATGAAATTGTACCCCTAGCAATTCACTCTTGTATGCAAGTGCCTTAAAAGGGCACGCATGCGTTTACCCCAGATAACTAGCAGTAGCTCTAGAGAGTGTAGCCCTTCAGGGGTTACTCAGAAGCAGATAATTTCTGAAGTGTAGCCCCTTCGCACCTGGGGACTGTGCTCGTGTTGCTGCTGCTCTGTCTCCTGTCTTTGCTTGTCGTCTTGGGCAAACTGCTGGACTCCGTCCTGCTTGGCTTCTCAGTGGAAGGCAGCAGGGCCGAGCTACCTCCCGGCAGCAAGACTTGCTCTACAGACCTGGACATCTCTCTCTCTGTTAAGACTTGGGCAGGCTTTAAGGTCATCCACGTTTGTCTGTAACCATGAAGGATGGGAGGATGCAACTTGCTAGCAGGGCAACACCTGCTAACCTAGTCTAGAAAGCGTTTGCCTCGCTGCAAAGCGCTGACTCGGCTGCTGGGGTAGTGGCACAACGTGACAAGCCTAATACCAGCGTACGCGAGGCTGAAATGATAGCCCATAAAATGGAGAGAGAGTAATAAATAATAGCCGTGTACTTGCAGCAGCGTTTGCTGACAGCTTGTGCAGCACAGTGGATGTGTTATGAAAAGCGAGGGAGCTAACTTGAGCAGCTTGGAGGGATTTATGTGTTTTCTAATTGGACTCTTCCCCCCCCC